TTCGGGCCCGTGGGCCCACTATGACTCTCTTTTAATTATTCAAACCGTGCATTTTTTAGGATTCTTCGTTTATATCATCCACAAAAAAAATTAAATCAATTTGATAATTTAAGCCTTTCCAATTTATCGTGTTTGTCATTAAAAAAAAGGATGGTTTTTATTTTATTTAATTTAATTTTTTTTTAAACATACTTATCATTCATTTTTTCAAATGCAATTGTAATAAATTAAATAGGCTAAGATTATTGGATCGATCTTTTTTTTTAAGATGATATACACTGAGGACTTTACAAAATGAAAATTTTAAATCATCAAAACATGACCCATGGTGGACTCCCACGGCCCGAAAGGCACCCTTGGCCATGTATTGATTTGTGTATTTATTTTGAATCTTTCATATTTTCTAGTTTAATACTTTGACATTTGCTTGAATATTACTATCTAAAAACTTGAAAAAATAAAATAGTAGAATTCAAGGTTTCAAATAAACCTCAAATGGTGTGTTTTTGTAAGGGATTTGTCTTTTCTGTAGTTGAAAGTTCAAACGGAACAGACAGTTAAGGTCTCTTACCGATAACAGTCATTAAACGGAGGTCTGTTACTAGTAAGAGTTTATGAAATGCATTGGCCCATTATTTTAACTCTTCGTTTAGTAAAATCTTTTCATAAACTCGCAGCGGTAAGAGACCTCCGTTTAATGACTTTTATAGATAAGAGATCTCAAATGTCTGGTCCAATTAAAATATCAATTGGAGACAAACGATTCCCTTTCATAAAATAACAAAACACAGATTATCAAAGTCAAGTAGAAAAAATCACGATGAAATGTGAAAATAATGTAAAGCCTGATTTTCTCTCATTTTGTACTTTTAATCTGTCGAACCCATCAATTTTGAGAAAGGGTGGATTTATAGTTGGTTGAAATTTTCTCAATATATTCAATTGATGATTTGCTGTCAAAACAATCAAACCAACTCGTGCACAACACCTATTACACAATGAGGACAAAAGGTTGCACCAATGCAACAAAAAGATTTGTTACTTCCAATCTATTATAGTTTCCATTACATAAAACAAAATCATATTAGCTGTTATGGAACCAACAATTTAAGTTTTGGCATTAATTGGAACATAGCAAAATCAATTTATTGGACTTCAATTATTGACTAATTAAGACTAACAAAAATTTATTGGGCTACATAGTACTGCTTGTTATAATGTTGACCTTAGAGTCTAATGTTTAACAATTATGTTATGAATGTTGCAGGTTACATTCCCTGCCTTGGAGAGATTGCAAATTATAAGACTAACAAAGATAACAGAGATATGGGATAGCAAATTACTTCCATCAGAGTCTTTTCGACAATTGAGAGATGTGACCATCCGGAGCTGTGAGAAACTGGTAAATGTCGGTTCGTCCAATATGCCCCGACAATTACCAAAACTAGAACAACTTGAGGTTAGTCATTGTCGAGAGCTGAAAGTAATAGTATTGAAGAATCGGGAGGAAGAAGAAGAAAAAGCAGAAAACAACAATAATACTAACTCGTTCCTTCAACTAACGAGTTTGACACTTGAAGATTTGCAGAGCCTCAAAAGCTTTTTCACCTCTAGATCTGAAACACAATCCCTCTTCACTAGCCAGGTATGAATGTCCTCATCAGTTTTGGTTGCACATGACCTATAAAACCCGAAACACAAATGTATATATACCTATATATATATATGTGTATGTATGTATGTATGTATTTTACTTAGATTAGGCTTCTCTCGTGTCAATAATCTAGACTCAAATTTGTTGTTTGGGCCTGTGGGCCCACTACGACTCTCTTTTTAATTATTTGAACCGTGCATTTTTTAGGATTCTTCGTTTATATCATTCGCAAAAAAAAATTAAATCAATTTGATAATTTTATCTTTTTCAATTTATCGTGTTTGTCATTAAACAGAAGGATGGTTTTTATTTTATTTATTTATTTTTTTTTAAACACACTTATCATTCATTTTTTCAGATGCAATTGTAATAAATTAAATAGGCTAAGATTATTGGCTCGATTTTTTTTTTAGATGATATATACTAACGACTTTACAAAATGAAAATTTTAAATCATCAAAATGTGACCCATGGTGGACTCCCACGACCCGAAAGGCACCCTTGTTGGCCATGTATTGATTTGTGTATTTATTTTGAATCTTTCATATTTTCCAATTTAATACTTTGACATTTTCTTGAATATTACTATCTAAAAACTTGAAAAAATAAAATAGTAGAATTCAAGGTTTTAAATAAACCTCAAATGGTGGGTTTTTATGAGGGATTTGTCTTTTCCGTAGTTCAAAGTTCTAACGGAACAGACAGTTAAGGTCTCTTACTGATAACAGTCATTAAACGGAGGTCTCTTACCAGTAAGAGTTTATGAAATGCATTGGCCCATTATTTTAACTCCTTGTTTAGTTAAATCTTTTCATAAACGCGCAGCGATAAGAGACCTCCGTTTAATGACTTTTATCGGTAAGAGATCTCAACTGTCTGGTCCAGTTGAAATTTCAATTGGAGACAAACGATTCCCTTTCATGAAATCACAGAACATAGATTATCAAAGTCAAATAGAAAAAATCACGTTGAAATGTGAAAATAATGTGAAGCCTGATTTTCTCTCATTTTGTACTTTTAATCTGCCGAACCCATCAATTTTGAGAAAGGGTGGATTTATAGTTGGTTGAAATTTTCTTAATATATTCAATTGACGATTTGCTGTCAAAACAATCAAACCAACTCGTGCACAACACCTACTGCACAATGAGGACAAAAGGTTGCACCAATGCAACAAAAAGATTTGTTACTTCCAATCTATTATAGTTTCCATTACATAAAACAAAATCATATTAGCTGTTATGGAACCAACAATTTAAGTTTTGGCATTAATTGGAACATAGTAAAATCAATTTATTTGACTTCAATTATTGACTAATTAAGACTACCATAAATTTATTGGGCTACATTGTACTCCTTGTTATAATGCTGACCTTGGAGTCTAATGTTTAACAATTATGTTATGAATGTTGCAGGTTACATTCCCTGCCTTGGAGAGATTGCAAATTAAAATACTAACAAAAATAACAGAGATATGGGATAGCAAATTACTTCCATCAGAGTCTTTTCGACAATTGAGAGACGTGACCATCCAGAGCTGTGATAAACTGGTGAATGTCGGTTCATCCAATATGCCCCGACAATTACCAAAGCTAGAACAACTTGAGGTTAGTTATTGTCAAGAGCTAAAAGTAATAGTATTGAAGAATGGGGGGGAAGAAGAAGAAAAAGCAGAAAACAACAATAATACCAACTCGTTCCTTCAACTAACGAGTTTGACACTTGAAGGTTTGCGGAGCCTCAAAAGCTTTTTCACCTCTAGATCTGAGACACAATCCCTCTTCACTAGCCAGGTATGAATGTCCTCATCAATTTTGGTTGCACATGACTAGTAAAACCAGAAACACAAATGTATATATATGTATATATATATATATATATATGTATGTATTTTACTTAGATTAGGCTTCTCTCGTGTCAATAATCTAGACTCAAATGTGTTGTTCGGGCCCGTGGGCCCACTATGACTCTCTTTTAATTATTCAAACCGTGCATTTTTTAGGATTCTTCGTTTATATCATCCACAAAAAAAATTAAATCAATTTGATAATTTAAGCCTTTCCAATTTATCGTGTTTGTCATTAAAAAAAAGGATGGTTTTTATTTTATTTAATTTAATTTTTTTTTAAACATACTTATCATTCATTTTTTCAGATGCAATTGTAATAAATTAAATAGGCTAAGATTATTGGATCGATCTTTTTTTTTAGATGATATACACTAACGACTTTACAAAATGAAAATTTTAAATCATCTAAACGTGACCCTTGGTGGACTCCCACGGCCACAAAGGCACCCTTGTTGGCCATGTATTGATTTGCGTATTTATTTTGAATCTTTCCTATTTTCCAATTTAGTACTTTGACATTTGCTTGAATATTACTATCTAAAAACTTGAAAAAATAAATAGTAAAATTCATGGTTTTAAATAAACCTCAAATGGTGTGTTCTTATATGGGATTTGTCTTTTCTGTAGTTGAAAGTTCAAAAGGAACAGACAGTTAAGGTCTCTTACCGATAACAGTCATTAAACGAAGGTCTCTTACCAGTAAGAGTTTATGAAATGCATTGGCCCATTATTTTAACTCTTCGTTTAGCTAAATCTTTTCATAGACTCGTAGCGGTAAGAGACCTCCGTTTAATGACTTTTATCGGTAAGAGATCTCAACTGTCGGGTCTAGTTGAAATTTCAATTGAAGACAAACGATTCCCTTTCATAAAATCATAGAACACAGATTATCAAAGTCAAATAGAAAAAATCACGTTGAAATGCGAAAATAATGTGAAGCCTGATTTTCTCTCATTTTGTACTTTTAATCTGCGAACCCATCAATTTTGAGAAAGGGTGGATTTATAGTTGGTTGAAATTTTCTGAATATATTCAATTGACGATTTGCTGTCAAAACAATCAAACCAACTCGTGCACAACACCTATTGCACAATGAGGACAAAAGGTTGCACCAATGCAACAAAAAGATTTGTTACTTCCAATCTATTATAGTTTCCATTACATAAAACAAAATCATATTAGCTATTATGGAACCAACAATTTAAGTTTTGGCATTAATTGGAACATAGTAAAATCAATTTATTTGACTTCAATTATTGACTAATTAAGACTACCATAAATTTATTGGGCTACATTGTACTCCTTGTTATAATGCTGACCTTGGAGTCTAATGTTTAACAATTATGTTATGAATGTTGCAGGTTACATTCCCTGCCTTGGAGAGATTGCAAATTATAAGACTAACAAAGATAACAGAGATATGGGATAGCAAATTACTTCCATCAGAGTCTTTTCGACAATTGAGAGACGTGATCATCCGGAGCTGTGATAAACTGGTGAATGTCGGTTCGTCCAATATGCCCCGACAATTACCAAAACTAGAACAACTTGAGGTTAGTTATTGTCAAGAGCTAAAAGTAATAGTATTGAAGAATGGGGGGAAAGAAGAAGAAAAAGAAGAAAACAACAATAATACCAACTCGTTCCTTCAACTAACGAGTTTGAGACTTGAAGATTTGCAGAGCCTCAAAAGCTTTTTCACCTCTAGATCTGAGACACAATCCCTCTTCACTAGCCAGGTATGAATGTCCTCATCAATTTTGGTTGCACATGACTAGTAAAACCAGAAACACAAATGTATATATACGTATACATATATATATATATATATATATATGTATGTATTTTACTTAGATTAGGCTTCTCTCGTGTCAATAGTCTAAACTCAAATGTGTTGTTCAAGCCCGTGGGCCCACTATGACTCTCTTTTTAATTATTCAAACCGTGCATTTTTTAGGATTCTTCGTTTATGTCATCCGCAAAAAAAATTAAATCAATTTGATAATTTAAGCCTTTTCAATTTATCGTGTTTGTCATTAAACAAAAGGATGGTTTTTATTTTATTTAATTTTTTTTTTAAACACACTTATCATTTATTTTTTTCAGGTGCGATTGTAATAAATTAAATAGGCTAAGATTATTGGATCGATCTTTTTTTTAGATGATATACACCAACGACTTTACAAAATGAAAAATTTAAATCATCAAAACGTGACCTATGGTGAACTCCCACGGCCCAGAAGGCACCCTTGTTGTCCATGTGTTGATTTGTGTATTTATTTTGAATCTTTCATATTTTCCAATTTAATACTTTGACATTTGCTTGAATATTACTATCTAAAAACTTGAAAAAATAAATAGTAAAATTCAAGGTTTTAAATAAACCTCAAATGGTGTGTTTTTATGAGGGATTTGTCATTTCTGTAGTTGAAAGTTCAAACGGAACAAACAGTTAAGGTCTCTTATCGATAACAATCATTAAATGGAGGTCTCTTACCAGTAACAGTTTATGCAATGCATTGGCCCATTATTTTAACTCTTCGTTTAGTCAAATCTTTTCATAAACTCGCAGCGGTAAGAGACCTCCGTTTAATGACTTTTATCGATAAGAGATCTCAACTGTCTGGTCCAGTTGAAATTTCAATTGAAGACAAACGATTCCCTTTCATAAAATCATAGAACACAGATTATCAAAGTCAAATAGAAAAAATCATGATGAAATGTGAAAATAATGTGAAGCCTGATTTTCTCTCATTTTGTACTTTTAATCTGCCGAACCAATCAATTTTGAGAAAGAGTGGATTTATAGTTGGTTGAAATTTTCTTAATCTATTCAATTGATGATTTGTTGAAATTTTCTTAATATATTCAATTGATGATTTGTTGTCAAAACAATCAAACCAACTCGTGCACAACAGCTATTGCACAATGAGGACAAAAGGTTGCACCAATGCAACAAAAAGATTTGTTACTTCCAATCTATTATAGTTTCCATTACATAAAACAAAATCATATTAGCTGTTATGGAACCAACAATTTAAGTTTTGGCATTAATTGGAACATAGTAAAATCAATTTATTTGACTTCAATTATTGACTAATTAAGACTACCATAAATTTATTGGGCTACATTGTACTCCTTGTTATAATGCTGACCTTGGAGTCTAATGTTTAACAATTATGTTATGAATGTTGCAGGTTACATTCCCTGCCTTGGAGAGATTGCAAATTATAAGACTAACAAAGATAACAGAGATATGGGATAGCAAATTACTTCCATCAGAGTCTTTTCGACAATTGAGAGACGTGACCATCCGGAGCTGTGAGAAACTGGTGAATGTCGGTTCGTCCAATATGCCCCGACAATTACCAAAACTAGAACAACTTAAGGTTAGTTATTGTCAAGAGCTAAAAGTAATAGTATTGAAGAATGGGGGGGAAGAAGAAGAAAAAGAAGAAAACAACAATAATACCAACTCGTTCCTTCAACTAACGAGTTTGACACTTGAAGGTTTGCGGAGCCTCAAAAGCTTTTTCACCTCTAGATCTGAGACACAATCCCTCTTCACTAGCCAGGTATGAATGTCCTCATCAGTTTTGGTTGCACATGACCAGTAAAACCAGAAAAATAAATGTATATATACGTATGTATATATATATGTATGTTTGTATTTTTCTTAGATTAGGCTTCTCACTTATCCTTCTTTTTTTTTAGGTACAATTTTTATAAATTAAATAGGTTAAGATTATTGGTCCAATCTTTTTTTTTTAGATGATATACACACAGACTTTACAAAATGAAAAATTTAAATAATCAAAACGTGACCTGTGGTCCACTCGCACAGCCCGGAAGGCCCCATTGTTGGCCATGTATTGATAATGTGTATTTATTTTGAATATTTCCAATTTAATACTTTGACATTTGCTTGAATATTACTATCTAAAAACTTGAAAGAATAAAATAGTAAAAATGAAAATGTTTATCCCTAAGTTGAGTTGTCATAGTTCATATAATATTTTCCTTTTTTGGGGTGTGTGTAACAAAAATAATGCCACCATTTTATTGCTTTAGGCTATGTTTGGTTCATGAATTTGAAGAAAGATTTGAAAAGTGAAAGGGAAAAGATGTGTGAAATTTAGTTATATTTCATTAATATTTCACCTACTTTTTCCCTTTTTATTTCCAAATCACTTCCCAAATTCATAAATCAAACACTGTTTTAGATAAAGAAGTACATGAGAAATAATCAAAACCTAACAAAATTACAAAAATGTAGAACAACGTTACAAAGAACCAAACAAGACCCTATTAGAACAAACTTAAAACATGATGACCAAATTAGTATCTAAAATAGAGAACAATGCGGGACTTTTGTGGGATGGATGGCTTTTGTGAACACGATCTACGTGTGGTGTGGGGCCATATCTTCTGTAGGGCCTAAATTTGGACTTAACATCTCTTAAATAGAAACCTAAAACAACTCTAAAGGCACAACAAAATATTGTTCAAGTTTAATTTGAAAAACTTAATGAGTTTAAAAATATTTTTGAGTTGGTCCTTTTATTTTTTATCAACAAAAGATGATCTTCGTTTACCATTTGAGCCAAACACAAACGAGCTTTAATCAAACCGAGTTCAAATAACTTGATATTGTATTATACATTTAAGTTTATGGAACTATGTTCGAGCCGAACTCAGAAAATTGATGATAAGTTTCAAAATATGTTCAATTTTAACTTATTTATATAATGAGTCATTCTTAAAATAATTTTAATGTGCCCAACATAAGTGGAGTTCAAATAACTTCATTTATTTTACCATCTAACTTAAAAAGATATGTCAAGAAAATGAATATTAAATTAAATAAGAAATTGTCAATATAAAAATAATCAAGGCACGTGGTGAATTTTTAAAACAAAATTTTCTTCTTTTTCATAGGTCTAATGCTCAAATCAACAACATAATTTACGTTATCTAAAAAATAACCAATAAAATTATGGAACACAGATTATTAAAGGAAAATAGATAAATAATGATGAAAGATGGAAAACAATGTGAAGAGCTGACAACAAAAGGTGCTTTAGTTAATAATTAGATACTCCAAATATTTGAGAAGAATATGGAGATATGCAATTATGAATTTGCTTGCCTATTGCTCTTCATTTGCACATAGCCACAAGTACAAAAGCTCATACATGATTAGAGCATCTCCAATGCACCAGGCATATAATACTTGTTAGTTAAAATGTCTAGTGTGATTCACTTTTTTCAATTCCAATGCACTAGGCATATGATTAGGCATTTTGGCTCAACTCATATTCACTAGCTACATGTAGCTAGCCTTCAACGCTAGGCAAAATGTATTCAATCATTATGATCATTTCCCTCTATCTATGTTGTTGACGTGGCATTCTATAAAATTAATAGTATTTTGATAAATAGCTAAAATAAAGAGTATGGTTGGAGTAAAAACATAAAATAGTTGATAGGCAAAATAAAATATATACTTTATAGTAATATTTAGATAGGTAAAATGCCTACTGTGTGTGTGTGTGTGTGTGTGTGTGTGTGTGTGTGTGTGTGTGTGTGTGTGTGTGTGTGTGTGTGTGTGTGTGTGTGTGTGTGTGTGTGTGTGTGTGTGTGTGTGTGTGTGTGTGTGTGTGTGTGTGTGTGTGTGTGTGTGTGTGTGTGTGTGTGTGTGTGTGTGTGTGTGTGTGTGTGTGTGTGTGTGTGTGTGTGTGTGTGTGTGTGTGTGTGTGTGTGTGTGTGTGTGTGTGTGTGTGTGTGTGTGTGTGTGTGTGTGTGTGTGTGTGTGTGTGTGTGTGTGTGTGTGTGTGTGTGTGTGTGTGTGTGTGTGTGTGTGTGTGTGTGTGTGTGTGTGTGTGTGTGTGTGTGTGTGTGTGTGTGTGTGTGTGTGTGTGTGTGTGTGTGTGTGTGTGTGTGTGTGTGTGTGTGTGTGTGTGTGTGTGTGTGTGTGTGTGTGTGTGTGTGTGTGTGTGTGTGTGTGTGTGTGTGTGTGTGTGTGTGTGTGTGTGTGTGTGTGTGTGTGTGTGTGTGTGTGTGTGTGTGTGTGTGTGTGTGTGTGTGTGTGTGTGTGTGTGTGTGTGTGTGTGTGTGTGTGTGTGTGTGTGTGTGTGTGTGTGTGTGTGTGTGTGTGTGTGTGTGTGTGTGTGTGTGTGTGTGTGTGTGTGTGTGTGTGTGTGTGTGTGTGTGTGTGTGTGTGTGTGTGTGTGTGTGTGTGTGTGTGTGTGTGTGTGTGTGTGTGTGTGTGTGTGTGTGTGTGTGTGTGTGTGTGTGTGTGTGTGTGTGTGTGTGTGTGTGTGTGTGTGTGTGTGTGTGTGTGTGTGTGTGTGTGTGTGTGTGTGTGTGTGTGTGTGTGTGTGTGTGTGTGTGTGTGTGTGTGTGTGTGTGTGTGTGTGTGTGTGTGTGTGTGTGTGTGTGTGTGTGTGTGTGTGTGTGTGTGTGTGTGTGTGTGTGTGTGTGTGTGTGTGTGTGTGTGTGTGTGTGTGTGTGTGTGTGTGTGTGTGTGTGTGTGTGTGTGTGTGTGTGTGTGTGTGTGTGTGTGTGTGTGTGTGTGTGTGTGTGTGTGTGTGTGTGTGTGTGTGTGTGTGTGTGTGTGTGTGTGTGTGTGTGTGTGTGTGTGTGTGTGTGTGTGTGTGTGTGTGTGTGTGTGTGTGTGTGTGTGTGTGTGTGTGTGTGTGTGTGTGTGTGTGTGTGTGTGTGTGTGTGTGTGTGTGTGTGTGTGTGTGTGTGTGTGTGTGTGTGTGTGTGTGTGTGTGTGTGTGTGTGTGTGTGTGTGTGTGTGTGTGTGTGTGTGTGTGTGTGTGTGTGTGTGTGTGTGTGTGTGTGTGTGTGTGTGTGTGTGTGTGTGTGTGTGTGTGTGTGTGTGTGTGTGTGTGTGTGTGTGTGTGTGTGTGTGTGTGTGTGTGTGTGTGTGTGTGTGTGTGTGTGTGTGTGTGTGTGTGTGTGTGTGTGTGTGTGTGTGTGTGTGTGTGTGTGTGTGTGTGTGTGTGTGTGTGTGTGTGTGTGTGTGTGTGTGTGTGTGTGTGTGTGTGTGTGTGTGTGTGTGTGTGTGTGTGTGTGTGTGTGTGTGTGTGTGTGTGTGTGTGTGTGTGTGTGTGTGTGTGTGTGTGTGTGTGTGTGTGTGTGTGTGTGTGTGTGTGTGTGTGTGTGTGTGTGTGTGTGTGTGTGTGTGTGTGTGTGTGTGTGTGTGTGTGTGTGTGTGTGTGTGTGTGTGTGTGTGTGTGTGTGTGTGTGTGTGTGTGTGTGTGTGTGTGTGTGTGTGTGTGTGTGTGTGTGTGTGTGTGTGTGTGTGTGTGTGTGTGTGTGTGTGTGTGTGTGTGTGTGTGTGTGTGTGTGTGTGTGTGTGTGTGTGTGTGTGTGTGTGTGTGTGTGTGTGTGTGTGTGTGTGTGTGTGTGTGTGTGTGTGTGTGTGTGTGTGTGTGTGTGTGTGTGTGTGTGTGTGTGTGTGTGTGTGTGTGTGTGTGTGTGTGTGTGTGTGTGTGTGTGTGTGTGTGTGTGTGTGTGTGTGTGTGTGTGTGTGTGTGTGTGTGTGTGTGTGTGTGTGTGTGTGTGTGTGTGTGTGTGTGTGTGTGTGTGTGTGTGTGTGTGTGTGTGTGTGTGTGTGTGTGTGTGTGTGTGTGTGTGTGTGTGTGTGTGTGTGTGTGTGTGTGTGTGTGTGTGTGTGTGTGTGTGTGTGTGTGTGTGTGTGTGTGTGTGTGTGTGTGTGTGTGTGTGTGTGTGTGTGTGTGTGTGTGTGTGTGTGTGTGTGTGTGTGTGTGTGTGTGTGTGTGTGTGTGTGTGTGTGTGTGTGTGTGTGTGTGTGTGTGTGTGTGTGTGTGTGTGTGTGTGTGTGTGTGTGTGTGTGTGTGTGTGTGTGTGTGTGTGTGTGTGTGTGTGTGTGTGTGTGTGTGTGTGTGTGTGTGTGTGTGTGTGTGTGTGTGTGTGTGTGTGTGTGTGTGTGTGTGTGTGTGTGTGTGTGTGTGTGTGTGTGTGTGTGTGTGTGTGTGTGTGTGTGTGTGTGTGTGTGTGTGTGTGTGTGTGTGTGTGTGTGTGTGTGTGTGTGTGTGTGTGTGTGTGTGTGTGTGTGTGTGTGTGTGTGTGTGTGTGTGTGTGTGTGTGTGTGTGTGTGTGTGTGTGTGTGTGTGTGTGTGTGTGTGTGTGTGTGTGTGTGTGTGTGTGTGTGTGTGTGTGTGTGTGTGTGTGTGTGTGTGTGTGTGTGTGTGTGTGTGTGTGTGTGTGTGTGTGTGTGTGTGTGTGTGTGTGTGTGTGTGTGTGTGTGTGTGTGTGTGTGTGTGTGTGTGTGTGTGTGTGTGTGTGTGTGTGTGTGTGTGTGTGTGTGTGTGTGTGTGTGTGTGTGTGTGTGTGTGTGTGTGTGTGTGTGTGTGTGTGTGTGTGTGTGTGTGTGTGTGTGTGTGTGTGTGTGTGTGTGTGTGTGTGTGTGTGTGTGTGTGTGTGTGTGTGTGTGTGTGTGTGTGTGTGTGTGTGTGTGTGTGTGTGTGTGTGTGTGTGTGTGTGTGTGTGTGTGTGTGTGTGTGTGTGTGTGTGTGTGTGTGTGTGTGTGTGTGTGTGTGTGTGTGTGTGTGTGTGTGTGTGTGTGTGTGTGTGTGTGTGTGTGT